CATTCTTATAGACCCCAAAGGGCACAGCTGGCTTAGTCAGTTTAAAAGGTGAAAATAAAAGAAGGCAGCTAGAATGTAGTGATTTCTAATTTGTATATATGTATATACATATGCATAAATGACAGTCAGATAACACCTCCTCTGCACTAATTTTAAGAACAATACACTAGAAATATAATTTAATGTGACTGGAAGTTTTAAATGACTGGTAACAAAAATAGCTCTTAGGAAAATTAAAAGGCCTTCTTTCATACTGGCATAAATTAGGAATAAATTCCTTCTAATCAAGTGTTACACTGTTGTAAGCTTAATGCAAAGGAACTGGGCCTCGCAGCACCAAAACCAATATTCTGTAACACAATCAAGCACCAGGAATCGCATTTTCCCCTTTTTAAAAAAGGACAATGTTATTTTTTTAGGCAGTTAACATTTAAAGGTCATTGTTATGGGAAGGAAACATTTCTTGTATTAAGTTTAGTGAAGTTGGTAGAAACACGCAGTCTGTTCCTTTATGGACTTCACTTTACAATACCATATGGAGGTGTGTGAAAGACACTCTGAAGCTCGACAATATTGTACAATATAACGGCAAAGGCAAGGCAGAGATCTGACAGAATAACTGCATGGGCTTCAGAGGCATTTGTCAGTAACAGCTGTTATAGCTCCTTCTTGTTATTTAAGTGAGCTTCATCTAGGCAATAATCCCTTCCAGCCAAAGGAATAATACCCCATGATGAGAACGGCTCTTCTGAGCACAGGAGGTCCTAGGGAAAGAGCACACCTCCGAATATTTCTGCAGATTGGCTAAAGAGTATCTCGGCTTACCTATCTCTCAGTGCAATGAACGATCTAGCAAATACTTTGCGGTCATCACTTACTCAGATGTCCCCTGGTAATCTTACAGCTCTTCTGCCCACAGAAACACAGCTTTCCTTTAGTGTGTAATCAATAACAAGGCTGCCACGCATGCCCTTTGTACCTGCCCTTAGCCAGAACACAAAGTCTTGCTCTCTCTAGCAGTGCCAGACATTACCATTTCCTAGAATAAGTTATCTGGGGAAATCAGATTTTGTTGTACAAACAGACCAGGCAGTCAGTTACACTGTAACTGAGACACTGAAAAAAGGAATGGGGGGAGAGGGAAATTGGTTGACAGGAAATCACTGAGTAGATTCAGCAAGCTAAGAAAAAAAAATAAATCAGAGTTTTGAAGACAAATTTTCACTATTATCTGATATATTGTTATCAAAGAAACCCAGCAGGATCCATAACAATCTATGGATGTTTCTCTGCTTATTCGTTTATAGACAACTATTCCCTTGATCAGACAGGTCCCAATTACAAGGGATGTTAGTTAGTTCCTTAGCTGATTTCTCAGGGTAGATATTAACATTGAAGTAAAAGGATCCCTCCTGTTTAAAGATATAAAAATGCACAAAAAATGTAGTTCTCCTTTTCCCCTGCTACCAAGATACATGCTGACTTTTCATTAAAAATGCCACAGCTGTCAACCTCTACTGAGATAAAGCAACGAACCTAGTCATAAAGAAACAGAAGATTGCAAAAAATACAAGACTTTAAACAAACAAAACTTGAATAATGTTTTCCTTTTGTTTCTTGGTACAGGCTGGTTATTCTGTACAGCAGACTTACTTCTTTTGCCAAGAAGTGTCCATAATAACAAGGGCTAGAAATTAATTTTCAAAAGAAAATTGAGTATAATGAAAACACATGAGTCCAGAGCTGGGGATTTATGTAAAACATCAAATACAGAGTCTTGTGACAGAACAGTAAGAGTTATCAATATCAAATAATTATAAAAAGAACTGTCATTTTTCCATTGTTTCAAGGCAAACAAGACTCTGCTAGTTTTAGCATAGCTTTGTTCAGTCAGGAAGATCCATTCTACAAAAGCTCCAATAATTTCTGATAGGCTAAAAGGAACAACTCCTGGTTTAAAATTTAGAAGATAAGACTTAATCTAACAGTATGTTATTTAACATAATGAAATCCACAGGAAAAAAAAAAAAAAAAGCAAACCCTTTGAGGCTTTATCACACTAGAGTAGACTTCAGAGATGCTGATTACAAGATTGTGTTCCCACAAAAACAACACATTAATTACCCGGAGAGCCTTGAAGTGAGCAGAAAGATTGCAAGTGTGGATTATCAAGTCGTCAGTCTTGACAACACTTGGAGCTAGACCTTTTAAGTACTTGGGCACTTACTATGTAGGTATGGGCTATGCGAGGCATTTAGTGGGTGTTGAAAGTCCTGCTCGGTGCCAATATCACCTGTACTTTGGGTTTTTTTACATGCAGCTTGAACTTCAGTATAACATCTGTGAGAAACCTTAGATTATTGCTACCCAGATCACGATCTCCTTCTTGATGTTATAACCCATAGCAGGCACAAAGACACGTCACGAACAAAGATCCAAAGCACAAGCATCACGTATAAATATATATGATATGTATATAATTATGTGCCACTGATTTAGTCATTCCATACAAGTGTTTTTCTATGCAGAATATGCTGATGAGAGCACCTTAGCAAAACTGTAATTTGTGAATGCTCATGGCATTTACAAGGGGTCCATGCCTTAAACACAACATATATATATATATATATATATATGCTTAGATTATGTACATGCTTGAATGTATGGATGACTTCATTCTATAATTATAAGTTTAATATTAAATTAAGTTTGATCTTTTAATGAAAAAAGTCACTCAAGAAACAGCAGACTAGATCCCTTTCATTAAGGATCATCTCATTAATTTTATGCATGAAATCCTCTGTAGACACACCTGAAACTGCAACATCCAGTGGTCAAAATGAAACATGTCTGGGGAAGAAATAGAATCCTACTTACTTCTGCCCATTTTAAAACAGCAGTCAGTGGAACAGGGATTATATGGGGAAAACTCAAGGTAGAATATATAATTTTTCAGCCAAAATGACAATTTGTTTGGCTTAGAACTAGCTATCCAGGATATTTGCATTAGGCTGTTTGAATTGAGGCCATCATTTCTATTCTGCAAGTGACAATACACCCTGCTATAGGTCACGCAGGGGAGCAGACAGTAATTACTGCTGTTTATATCAAACACAGGGCACTTATTTCAGTCTAATATTTTTTGAGAATCGGATGCCACTGTCGCTGTTGCTGGGGTATTTCGTTTCAAATGATGTACTCAATTAACAGTCTCTATGTTTTGCTAGTGCCTGTGAGGGGTAGAGTGTCTAGTAGAGCTTATAAAAAAACATTGCTTTTTGAAAGGGTTCTACAAAAAAAAAAATCTATTTCTTATACACAGCACGAGAGACCATTTACAAATCATTGGTTTAGGAGTTGTGGAAAACAGACAGCGATGTAAAGATGTCAGCATTGTGGAAACGAGGCAAATAGGGAAAGAGGGACACCAACACCATTTCTGCTGCAGGAAGGTCTCGATACCACCAGTGGTTCGGAGTAGAGAGGCAACGCCGCATCCCCACACTGCAAATCCTTTGGAGACGGAGCTGTTAGCAAGTCCTGTGGCGCTTCGTAAGGGAGTTAACAACACCCGGGGCTGCAGGAGCCCAGGAGGGGAGGTGCAGTTCCCTGCCTCTAGCTATTTACCTGCACAGGACCTTGTTTAGGAAAAGTTTTGACGCTCATGCATAACTTTACGGGTGTTAGGCGACAGGACTAACCACCGGCTGCAGCACCAGGTGCGAGCGTAAATATGTTGCTGAAGCAGAGGCCAAACCAGAATTACTTCGGTTTACGCAGAATTATTTAGCTGCCTAAAAGGCTTCGTGTCATCTCACTTCCCTCAGCCAACGCATCTCTAACCTTTTTATGCCTGAAAGACCCTCAAATCGCATTGCTAGTAGCCACAGGGCCACGGCTGGAGGCGCCGCGTTCACTTTACGCTTTCCAGTTGCACCTTCCCGTTAAAACCCAAATATTTCGGGTTTCACCTCCTTAAAACCTGCGTAGGAGCCAAGGACAGCTGCCCACGCGTCTCGATACTATTTATGTCGACGGGCTTCGTGCCAAGTGCGAAGGAATCAATCCTTCCGCCACCCCGGGCCCCCC